GTGACAGTAACCAATTCTGCCCTATTGTTGTGAGGTTATTAGAGTTCAGCTTGGCCAAGTCTCCAATTTCAATTGCCTAAGTGGTGTCTGATAACAAGAGGATACTAACTTGGCTAGAAGGCTGAGACCATACACAGACACCTTTCAAATGCAGATTTCAACATTTTCGTTTCTAAATGTGGATTTCTTTTATATTATAATGACCCCAGGCTCTAGCTCTTTACTTATCTCCTTAATCTCCTCTAGTGCTGTTTCTACTTTCCCTTATTCTAATCACTTGTTTAACTAGTGTAATTGTTTCTCCACCACTCCAACAGGTAAGGTGAACAAAGGATTTAATAGTTCTACTTGTAAAACAAAGATAGTGGCTTTTTTTTCCTTCCCAGGGTTAAGGCAATCCCCAGTAATAAATCTGGCATTAAAGTTGGCTCAGGAATGTCATTTAATATACTAGTATAGTAATCCAATTACACTTTTCATTACCAGGTAAAATAATGTCATCAAAAAACTAGGGGGCATTACAAGCGGAAGGAATGTTTCCAATGGGATTGCCCAAAAAGTTCCCCTCAGAGACGGAGGAGGAGGGTGGGAGGAGTGGCATTGGTCAGGATGCACTGTACTCATAAATTCATACATTGAATTGAAACCCCCTTGTGGAGTTACTTAAAGAATGAAAAGTTTCCCTTGGAGGTCTTCATCCCTTTGGTTTTTCCTCTGCTCTCTCTCCCAGATATATAACTAGCTCCCATTACAAAATAAAAAACAAGGTCATGCTTATCCCAAATTCTTCATGCTTCTCTCACCTTAAACCTAAACACTTGTGCAAATTACGCCCTCTATTTCCCATCTAGGAAAAAAGGTGAGGTTTGAATGTTTTTTTTTTCTGAATTATAGATAAAAGGAAACAACAACAATAAACAAAAAAAAATACCACTGGTATCCAATTGGTCTTTAGGAATGTTTGCTCCTTTTTGGCCATTTTTTAGTCTGTGCAGGTATTCAGTGATAGAAGCCAAAGTGACAGAAGGCTCACTGTCTCCAACAAGTTTCCAGAAGGAGTTCCTGCCTGGCAGGAAGGGATCCCTGCTGGGTGCTCCACAGGCCTCTCTTGGCAGCCTGGCCTTCCTCACTGCTCAGTTCATCCTTCCAAGCCCTTCCCAGCAGCCTGTGACATATTTCTCATTTCTCTCTGCATCACAGGCTCCAAAAACATTATTAGCTCTTCATCTGACTGACCTCCGGGGCATTTCAATACCTCTTTTGGAGCTGAGTAGCAGTGTTCCCAAATCTAGAGCAATGGACCTAAAAGTAAATGGGCTTTAATTACTTAATGTGGGGGGCGGGGAGCGGAGCAACTGTATAAGAGCTCCTAATTGCTTACTATTTTAATACATTAATATTAGTTTTAATGAGGTGGCTTGTTTATTTATTTTTTTTTAATTAGACTGCATGTCAAAAGCTGAAGAACCAGCTTTGACTGAGACGAGGGTCATTTGGGGCTGTAAAGAAGGCAGACTGTTTTCACCTGAGAGCAGTACCTTCTTGTGGAGTAACAGATTGTGTCTCTGCATTTTCTAAATTTTAGTGTCAGGTAGAGGCTTCACTTCCAGGATTTCCTCCCATTATATTTATGAGATTGACAGCTTTATTCAGTCAAAAGTTCAGAGAACTATAGGTCACTGTGCAGCTTTTTCTCAAATACAAAGCATACTGGAAAGAACTGAGTTCCATTCAAAAGCTGTAGTGAATTATTGTTGTTGTTGTTGTTTTTCTCAAAGGCAATGGTAGAAACAACACAGATTCCCTCAGCTTAGTTCTACACAAATAAGATTAGTTAAGCAGTTTAATTTAATCAGTTGACAAATGGTTAGCATTGCCTTTGGGCAAGAGTGATTAAATTAGGATTCACCACTTTTGTTGTTACTTTTCCTTTTACTCAGGGTTGTAGGAGGCAGGCCTGAACTCCCTACATAGCATAGGCTGGCCTAAAACTGGTGATCTTCCTGCTTCAATTTCCTAATTGCTACGATTATAAGTATGCACCATTAAGACAGGAGGGTTCATAGTTCTTAATGACGGAGATACACACCACCACTGAAAGCATAGATGTTTGTTTGGCCATAGGGCATGTTTTTATGGGATGTAGGGACATAACCCCATGATGGGGTCAATGACTTGAGAAGATTAGGAGAGGTAGGCTGGCACATTTCCACTCTCTTACATGTGATGCCCTCTTCTGTGTTATTATGGTGAAGCCAGAAGTCCCTGGCCAGAGGCTCATCCACAACTTAGATTTTTCCCAGCCTCCAAAGCTATAAGAAATGTTTCTTTTCTTTCTGGGTTACCCAATCTCAGGTATTGTTATAGAAACTGAACGGATCTACCACATCCCTGCCAGGTGACCACGTGAAGTCAGGCAGGCACAGGAGAAAGATTATTAGAGGAGCCATATTTCTCCCGATTTGAGAGCACATGACAGCCTCCACTATCTAGGTATCTGGGGGTAGGAAGTATGGTAGGTGGGAGCTCAGGTGGGTTTGGGCGGAGAGAGGGAGGGGCCAGCTGTATGGCGGAACTCCTGGGTAGGGAGAAGCTCCAGGTTTGGGTGGAGCTGAGGACCAAAGGTGGGCATAATGCTTGCAGAAACACCAACAGACTAAAATCAAAGGTCTACAATAATAATAGCTAAAATAATGATATTCATAATAAATATTAAAGAGGATTAGAGAAGTGGAATCTTTATACATTGCTGGTAGGAAAATAAAATGGTTCAGGCACATTGGAAAATAATCTTACAGTTCCTCCAAATGTTAAACAGAGAATTTTTGTATGACATTATAATTGAATTCATAGCTGTATACCCAAAAGAACTGCAAATGTGTTCAAACAAAGGCATATATACCAAAGTTCATAGCACTATTACACATAACTAGAAAGCAACAAAACAACCAATTATGGTTTATTGATAAACAACCCAAAGATCCATCAAGGTGGTATACCAGATAAACAAAATATGGTATACCACCACATTAATAAGGCAAGTTGGAAATTACAGCAAATAATGGAGATAGTGGTAATGAAGGGGTATTCGAAAACTTTCCATATTGTCCTCTCAGCTATTCTTTAGTAAGCCTAAATTTGATTTTTTTTTAAAAAAACAAGGTATTTTAAAATATAAAATACTGATATAGTAGAAAATTATCCTAGCTGTGGAAAGGAATGGAGTACTGAGACATGTTACACTGGTAAACTAGAAAACATGACCATAAGTTAAACAAGTTTCACACAAAAGGCCAAGCATAGGAAAATCCAGAGAGACAGGGCATGGGCTAGCGGCAGTAAGGCTGAGGAGAGGGGAGTGGAAAGTGGATATGGGGCTGCTAATGGATATGGGGCTTTGTGTGGCATAAAAAGAATATTTTGGAGTTGGATAAGGGTGATGTTTTCTCAATCATGTGAATAGACTAAAAGCCACTGAGTTGTACACCCTGAGTGAATTTCTTGATATGTAAACTATATCTCAATTTTTAGAAGACTGAATTTCAATTTAATAATTAATTTGCAGGAGAGCAAGAGTGAGAGCAAGCAGGAGAATGAGAGAAGAGACAGAAGCAGTCCTGGGCTTTGGATACATAAAGTAACAAACTGATTAGCTCATTCTGTTTTAAGGATTGAGGATACCCCTGACTCTATACATTCCCTAGTTTCCTCTTTAACATGCCATCTTTGCTTCCTCATTATTTTTTATGCTCTTACTTTTTCATAGTACACCAAAGGGTCATACAGTTTAGGTTTTTCTGTTAGATCAAATGACACTGTCTGTGTTTGGCCAAAAGTAAGACAGAGAATAATTCCTCATGAAAACTGTGCACAGCAATTCTTCAGAAAATACATGAGATGCTAGCATCCAGTTTAAGAGGACAATGAACCAAGTCTTGGTTTTGTTAAATAAAACCATCTGTAGTTCCTTATATAATGTTTCATGAAACAAAACTTAGAAGACAAATGAGGAATAAAGACTCCTGTAAGCTACGGATCTGTTTTCCTTAGGCTTATATATGCGTTATATACATATAGTGTAATTGTAATTGTTAAAAGAATATAATAGAGAGGTTGTACCTAAATGTCATTGCTTAGGCCTTTTGACTTTAATCAATAAGACTATATTTGCTTGTATTTCTGAGATGCATAACATTTACTTACATATTTCAGATTTTGACAACTCACCTATTCTTTTTTTTTTTTCTTTTTTGGTCAGTCGTGGGGCTTGAACTCTGGGCTTGGGCGCTGTCCCTGTGCTCTTCAGCTCAAGACGAGCTCTCTACCACTTAAGCCACAGTGCCACTTCTAGTTTTCTAGTGGTTTATTGGAGATAAGAGTGTCACGGGCTTTCCTGCCCAGGCTGGCTTTGAACCGTGATCCTCAGATCTCAGCCTTTTGAGTAGCTAGGATTACAGGCATGAGCCACCAGCGCCCAGCTACAACTCACTTATTCTAATGCTCGTAGCATTCTATTCATTGCAGTAGTTATTTTCATTTCACCTTATGGCATCTAAGGATTTTAAATTACTGAACGTAAACACATATGACATCACTTAAAAAGAAAAAAAATTCATGTATGCCCAGCTCTACAGAATCCCATTGCTTTTTTTTACAACTTATGGTAACTTTAGATAATGTCAAGTAATGTCTTTTTATTTTATAATTTAAGTTAGAATTGGTTATAGAGTTTAAACATCTGATAGGCTATCTGCCTTTTTATACTTGGTTCCTTTTTTTAAAAAAGAAATTTCTTAAAAATGGGTGCACACCTCACTATGCTTAATTATTAACAAATATTACAGCAAATTCTCTATCTCCCTGAAAAGTATGTCTCAGTATTAGTATAGTCTTAGTGATCTTTATCTTGATAGACAGGTGTTTTGCTTCCAATGGGAAGTCTTCCCAGCATTTTAATCTGATAAAAAAAAAATAACCTACGGAATAATAAGTACACTTACCTGGCTTTACAAGGCCTGCCTTTGATTCCTTCTTATGTCGAGTTGACTGGCTGTGGCTGTTTCCCTCACCAACCATTGCAATTGTGCATTTCTTTCTGGTAAAGTCTTCATCACTTCCAGGGCAAAAGCCAATGGGACTGTTTCCAGTGTCTGATGGCGTCTTCACAGGAGACACTGACTGGCTACTAGGACAGCCTGTGTCATCTAAGAGAGAGCAATTGTTGTGTATTTAATAAGGAGGAGAAAATCAAAGGTGATAATTAGATGCCACTTGTGTAACACACACACACACACACACACACGTGCTCTGCTTGTGAAGTTCAGGTTAACTACAGTGCATGACCCTGCTTTGATGACTCTCCTTTCATTTTTCCAAATTTTAGCCACTCATGTTAACAAAATATCAACTATTTTAAGGGAATACTTTCCCTCCCTGTTTTAAAATATAATTGTATTGTTGTTATTAAGATATTATACAAAGGTATTATCATTTCGTAAGTCAGGTAATCAGTATATTTCTTTTTTGGACAATGTCACTCTTCATTTGCTTTACTCAGTTTTCCCCTCCTATCCCTGCCTACAAATTACATAGATAATTTTCTCATAGTGTCTTATTAAATAACATGGTTGCATTTGCTCATCCTTCTTCTTTCAGGGGATACTTTCAAGGTAAAATAAATGAGCTTTCTGGTGGTCAAAAATTTTTATCTTGGAGCTAGGAATGTTCCTTAGTGGTAGACTGCTTGCCTACTATGCATGGAGCCCTGGGTTCAATTCCTCAGCATCACATAAACAGAAAAGGTGGGAAGTGGTGTGTGGCTCAAGTGCTACCCTTAAGAAAAAAAAAAAAAAAGCTCAGGGACAGTGCCCAGGCCCTGATTTCAAGCCCCAGGACAGGCAAAAAATAAAATAAGAATATGTGTTTGGATATGTGGTATAATTTTGGGTGATATAATTCTACAGGTTTTTGTATGGAGTTAGAAGTAAAATGTTCATTAAAACAATTCAAGATCACTAGTTATGAAAATAAAGCTACATGAATCCTCCTGACCTTATCCAATTTTACATCCCTTGATCCATCAGTTGGTTAATAGAGTTTTCTCCATTAAGATGTCTGGCTTTAGAAGTTCAAAGAAGTCACATACACATCAATTATAGCCATTTCTCTAGCATAGTGATAAAATGAAAATGTTACATCAGAAACACTCCTCTAACTTTCAAGTTTCAGATGATTATTAAAAAGGATCATTATCTTAATTTACTATGTATGGTATGAAGTAACCCCAAGACACTAGATACTTCTTAAGCAACAGCAAATTCATACTGCCAGTGTCTACAAATAATTTCCGAATTTATCAAAGTGGCTGTGGTGCTCACCTGGGCCACCTCACTGGCCCAGCTGGTCTTCCTGACAACCATCTCTCCATCTCCACCACTTCTCCCATGTGTGGCCAGTCTGCAGTCAAGCTAGCAGTGGCAGCCTGTGGCCGCTGCTCCTACCAGCCCCTTGATGCGCCATCCAGACGCACCCCTGGCCCGGGACCCTGCCCAGGAACGGCCCCCTCTCTACTGCTCCCCGCTTTTAGCTCCTGCCCCTGCACACTCAGGCAACCCGAGCCACTCCCCCACCTGGACCCAAGCCTGCCACGGAGCCCCTGCCCTACCAGACCCGCCTTTTGCTCGCCGACACACAACAGGAGGTTCCAGCTGCTCTTCTCTCCCAGACACGCAGATTGGCCGGTGAGAGCCCTCAGGCCCAGCAAAGGGAAGTGATTAGTGCTATGAGCACCGCAGCCCAGGCTGCTCATATAAATGTGCTTAAATAAGGACAATCATATAGAAATTTAGAGCCAATACGTATCTACTAAACATGTTCAATTAGTGGTAAATTGTTATTCTTCATATTTTTTATTTATGAAAATATTTTGCTGCCAGTTATCCAGGTGTTAATTAGACATATGAAGAAAGATATATAGCACTAATAATTTTAGAACTATTGTGCTTTTATGAATATGAAGGGCACTGAAATAATTTGCCAGCTATCCAGGGCTATCTTAAAACTCCATGGCTGAAAGAGAAGTAGATATGAATAAAATATAGATTGCCTGAATTATGCCTAGAATCCACCCAAAAAAGAAATGCTACTGTTTCATATTTGGCTTCTATTTCATTTTTTATTATGAAATATCCTAGTTCCTGGAACAAAGTGAACTTGGCACTCACATCCTGATTTCTTTCTTTCTTTTTAAGTTTTTGGCATAGTATAGGAGCTCCAATAGTCTGTCTCTGGACATGCTGTTTGATATATACTACTCATGCTACTGAATGTGCTGCTCCTTTAGATATACTCTGAACTTCCTGAACACTTGAAGGCCTTCTGGTCCAGGGTTAGTGTGGCAAGGCCTTCTGTGGGTGGCTATGACTCATTCTTTACTATCCCTGCCTTTCTTTCTCTTTTGCAGGCCCCAGCTTCAACTCCAAGAATCTGAATCTAAAAGTGCAAGGCTGCTAATTATTCAGGCACACTCCTGAAATTTTAAAAGGTGTGACAAGTCTGTGCATGGCTTCAGAGAGGAACTCTTTCTTGATTCCTAGTCCAAAACTTGAATGAAGTCTAATCATTCAAACATTTACCTATTTCAATAATCATCATTTTTATGATCATATGCACATGGCTCTTGAGCTCTTGCAATCCTCTCCTAAGAATATCCTCCTTTGATCTCACTGTGTCAATGCTACCATGGAACAAAAGACACTATATTGGAAATGAACTATACAACTTGGTGGGGAGGGAAGTTGAGAGGGAAAAAATGAGAGAGAAGGAGGAAGGGGTGGCACCTTTCAAAAGGAAACATTCATTACCTAACTTATATAACTAACTTCGCTATATATCACCTTTACAAGAACATTTACAAAACCTAAAATAAATACCTTAGACTAAAAAAAGATTTGCCTACTGCCCTTAAAATTATTTCCTTAGGAGTCAGTTCCATAAATTACCCTAAATAAGAATATGTTACCCTGAATTTTCAGCATTAGTCATGTCAAGCATTAGGCATTTAAAGTCTGGATAAAAATTGACAAATGGAGCTTTGAGTGGTAGCAGCATGCGAAAGGCCACAGCAATTTTTCACTTAGGGTACATGCCTTACCTGCTGCAGGTATTTATGCTCCCCAAGGGCAGAGTATGACATCTAAATCAATATTGAACTTTTGGAACCTATTAAAACATGAACTGCTGCATACATGTATGTCTCTTTTTACTGTCCACTACTGTGCTTCAGATGAAGCAGGAAGACAATCGTTTATTTTTTTGTTAAGGAATATGTATCAAGTTCAGAAGCTCAAGTAGTTGACCAGTATTGTACCCAAGTCCCATCTTGGTGGAGCTTATAAATTAGCCAGAGGAGTTAGCATTTAAACATCTATGTACCCAAGAAAATCAATGAGTTCTGAGAACAGTCTGGGATAGGTGTCTGTTTTGTTTAATGGGACCAACAATAACCAGAAATAGTCTAGCTCACAAAAGGCAGGATCGTTAATTGTCTTACTAGAGAGGACACACTTTAAATCATGCAAAGTAAGACCCCAGCATAGACACAGAACTTCATGCTTTAGTCATCTGGTCATCCCTAGCCCCTGGGAGATTTTACTCTTTGAAGAAGTGGTTATCTTTTCAACAAATCTTATCTAGGCTCCTTCTCAGCCATCCCTTCCCATCTCCACCTCTTCGTGGTACAGATGGAAACTGACCATCATTTCAGATGAAGATAATAGTCCTCTTCAAAATTCTGTACAAATATTCTCAGTTCAGGGAAGCTGTAGTAATGCCTGCACCTGGGAGGCTGACGCGGGGAGATGAAGAATTTGAGGCCAGGTTGTACTATACAGCGAATCTGTCTCTGGAAATGAAGGGCTGTGAGTATAGCTCAAGTGCTTGAGCACTTGCTTAACACATGGAAGGTCCTGGGTTTGATTCCTAGCACAGGCAAACAAAAATTCTCAGTTCACATTACTCTGAGCTTCTAAGACTACTGAAACCAAAAGGTTTCTCTTTAGATCTTACATGTGACTACATGTAGACTGAGAATACATTTACAAGATGCACTCTTTGAGTGTGCTTGTTTCCTGCCACTACCCTGACTATTACTTCTACCTACAGAACCTGTGGCTTTGCAGACATGGTACTTTTATAATTCTGGCATTTGTAAGTTTATATTAATTGTTAAAAAGTTATCCAAAGACAAAAACTTCTAATTGGATAGAAACGAGGGAATTATTTCTGGGCAGAAAATGAGAAAAAATCCTAAATGATCTGTCCAAGAAGTGTATGGTACCTCACAATTCCAGAAGAATGGTTAGGCAGGTAAAGACGTTTCAGCTTGGTTTTGTCATGAGGAAAGCTTTGCAGCAAGATTTTTAGAAAGAAGATATAAAAGACTAGGTCTACTGGAGAGAGAGGAATTTAAACATTCAGATTTTTACCATTGGAAATTTAAATTTCTTTCTCCACTGTTTATGGTAAGTATAACTTTACTTAAAGAAGCAGGGGCATTCTATATGTTTTATGCAGTGTGATGCATTTGAAAAAAATATGAGGTAGTTTCCTTATAGGGAGAACTATTTGGTATCTCTATTTGGTATTTGATGGGCCCAGGAAGGACCCCCACCCCAGAGGAACTCAGGCAAAAGCAACCCTCACCAAGGTGTAATTTAAATGGTCACATTGGGACTGGGAAGGTGGCTCAGTGGTAGAGTGCTTGCCTTGCATGCATGAGGCCCTGGATTTAATTCCTCAATACCACATAAGCAGAAAAAGCCAAAAGTGGCACTGTGGCTCAAGTGGTAGAGCACTAGCCTTGAACTACTGCTCAAGGACAGTGCCCAGGCCCAGAGTTCAGGCCCCACTACCAATCAAAAAAAAAATATCGCCTTGTATAACAAGAGGAGACTAATTAGTAGCCATTTCCCCTATACTCAGCAGTAGGTTCTTCCGTTGCTGTTCTTGGTCATTTGTTTACACTCTGTTGATATAAGAAGAAAAGATAGAAAGGGTATTCCACACCTAGAACCTTAGAAGTTGTTACTAAGAAGTACTCTAAGAAAGATACCATCTGAGTAGAATCTGCATTGTTGTTAAGGGGGAAAGGTTCCTAAGGTTTATAGACAGCTAGGAAAAACAGGCAACTATTATAATTCTGTGT